TGGGCAACTCCTAACATATATGACACACAAAGATAGAACAAGAGACAAGGATATGGAGGAGGTATTCTGTTGTGGTTGTTAGCTGAGTTGGTATAAGCTGCCCGCAAGTCAGCTTCTAACTGTGGCCATCCCAGGCATGAGGGAAGGAACCCTGCCTGAATCTGTGCTATCCCCACGATCAGCTGAAGGGTGGGCCATTTGATTCTCAGAGTTTTCAATGGAAGATGGTCAGAAGTACGTCACCAGGCTTTTATTCCTAGTTCATCATAGTTGGGAACAACACTGAAACCTGATCAGCATCACAGTAACATACCAGCATCCACTGATTGGTGGGTGGTGGTTGCACATTAAGTACATTGCCAGGAATTGAGCCTTCATCTCTCATGTGGAAGGTGGGAATTCTACCAGAACCATTAGTGATAGAAATCCCAATCATGGAGCGAATGCCCTTATTGTAATAGCCAATAATGGTACATAGAGATTGTCAGACACAGAGATTATTCTAATCCTGTGGGGTAGCCCTTGTGTGGCTCTGTAGGATTAGCTCTAGACTGCTAACCAAAAGGTCAGCAGTTCAAACCTACCAGCTGCTCTTTGGAAACTGTGTACAGGGATGATAGGATTCAGCACTTAACACCACCACCACCTCTTGCCAATTTTAGCAACTTGGGACTTTCTAAAATATAACCTTTTTATCTACAAAGTGGGATGATAATAACTTGAAACATGTATCGTGACAGTCACATGAAATAATCTATCAAAGATATTACCATAACTCCTGCTATCAACTATAAATTTGATACTTTCTTCCCATTTCCTCCATTTCTTAAGTTTTTACTTTAGTTTGCCCACTTCCTTTCATGGGGCTCCCTATTATGAATTAAATTGTGCCCCACAGAAGATATATGAAAGTCCTTACCCCAGACCTATGATATTTAGGTATCTTGTTTGGAAATAGAGGATTTCATTTATGTTATGGAGGCCCTATGGAGTAGGGTGAGTCCTAATCCCTTCTGAATAGTGTCTTATACAAAGCAGACACATATGAAGAGATACACAAGGGGAAAATAAACCATTTGTGGTGCTGTGTACAAGCACAAGAATTTAAAGAAATGCCTGGGGCTAAGGACAAGGAAAGCCTCTCCCCTACAGATGAGGCCCAGATAGGATATCTAGCTTTCAAAATTATAAATGGATGAATTCATAAAACACTTCCTGTATTTTGTTGTAGCAGCCGTAGGAAACCATGACATTGTTTTGAATTAGACATCATATTTGTCAAATGTTATTATTGTTGTTAGGTGCTGTTGAGTTAGTAACCACCTTATGCACAACAGAATGAAACACTGCCTGGTGCTGTGCCAACCTCACAACTGTTGCTACATTTGAGCCCATGTTTGAGGTCATTGCTGTTGCTGCTATGCCAAACCACCTCACTGGGGATCCTCCTCTTTTTCTCCAATCCTCCACTTTACCAAACACGATGTCCTGTACCAGGGACTGGTCCCTCCCAATAAAATGTTCAAAGCATGGGTTCTAAGAAGTAGTCTGGCTGTACTTCTTCCAACACAGATTTTGTTTGTTCTTATGGCAGGCCATAGTACTTTCAATATTCTCCTCCAATACCATCCCTCAAATGCATCAATTCTTCTATGGTCTTCTGTATACATTGTCCAAATTTCACATGCATATGAGGCTATTGCAAATACCATGATTTGGGTCAGGTGCACCATAGTCCTCAAACTGACATCTTTGCTCTTGAACACTTTAAAGAGGTGTAGCAGATTTGCCTTGTGCAGTACATCGTTTGACTTCTTGAATGCTGCTTCCCATCAGTGATGATGGGTGTTTGAGCAAAATGAAGTATTTGACAACTTCATTCTTTTCTCTATTGATCCTGATGTTTATTGGTTCAGTGGAGAAACCTTTTGCTTTCTGTACATTGAGGTCCAACCTATACTGAAGGTTGTGGTCTTTGATCTTCATCAGTTAATATTTAAAGTCCTCTTTACTTCAGCAAGCAAGGCTGCACCATCTGCAAATCACAAGTTGTTCACGAGTCTTCCTCCAATCCTGATGCCATGTTCTTCTCCATATAATCCAGTTTCTTGGACTATTTGCTCAGCAGACAGATAGAAGAAGTATGGTGAAAGAATGCAACCCTGGCACACACCTTTCCTAATTTTAAACCATCCTATGTCCCCTTGTTCTGTTTGAATGACTGTCTGCATCTATGTACAGGTTCATTATGAGCACAATGAAGTGTTCTACAATACTCATTTTCCTCAATGTTTTCCATAGCTTGTCATGATCCACACAACAGAAAGCCTTTGTGTAGTCAGTAAAGCACAGTAAACATCTTTCTGGTATTCTCTGCTTTTAGCCAAATTCCATCTGATGTTAGCAATGATATCCTTCATTCCACGTTCCCATCTAAATCTGGCCTAAATTTCAAGCAGCTCCCAGTCAATGCAGTGCTGCAGCCATTTGTGAACTATCTTTAGCAAAACTTTACTTGCATGTGATATTAATGATATTGTCCACTGATTTCAGTGTGTCTTTGGGTCACATGTCTTTGGAATGGGCACACATATGGATCTCTTCCAATCAGTTGGCCAGGCAGCTGTCTTTTAAAATTTTTTGCCATAGTTGAGTGAGTACCTCCAGTGCTGTCTCAGTTTTTTGAAAGATTTCAATTTGTACCTCATCAGTTCCCAGATCCTTGTTCTTTGCCAATGCCTTCAGTGCACCATGGACTTCTTCCTTCAGTATCATTGTCTTTTGATCATATGCTACCTGTTGAAATGGTTGAACACTGATCATTTCTTTTTGGTACAGTGACTCTGTATATTTGTTGCAACATCTTTTGGTGCTTTCTGCATCATTCAATACTTTGCCCATGGAATCCATCAATATTACAAGTCAAGACTTGGAGTTTTTCTTCAGGTCTTTCAGCTTGAGGAATGCTAAGCATATTCTTCCCTATTAGTTTTCTAACTCCAGGTCTTTCCACATATCATTATAATAATCTGATTTTGTCTTCTTGAACTGACGTTTGAAGTTTTCTATTCAGCTCTTACCTCCTCCTACCTTCTATTTTCTTTAGCATCTCTACTGGAAAGCAAATTTCAGAGTTTCTCCTGAAATCCATTTTGGTCTTTTCCTTCTTTCTTTTCTTCATAATGACCTTTTGATTTCTTCCTGTTTGATCTTTTTGATGTCATCCCATAATTCTTGTCTTTGGTCATTATTGCTTAATTAAATCTGTTTTTGAGATGATCTCTAAATTCTGGTGGTATATGATCAAGGTCATATTTTGGCTCTTGTGAACTTGTTTCAGTTTTCTTCGGCTCCATCCTGAATCTCATAGGAGCAATTGATGGTCTTTTCCACAGTGTGCCACAGATCTTATTTTGGATGAAGATTTGAAGTTTTCCACTGTCTCTTTCCACAGATGTAGTCACTTTGATTTCTGTGTATTCCATCTGGTGAGGTCCATGTGTTTTATCATCTTTTATGTTGTTTAAAAAAGTATTTGCAATGAATAAGTCATCAGTCTTGCACAATTCTATAATGTGATCTTCAGTATCAGTTCTACCATCAAGGCCATATTTTCCAACGACTATTCCTTCCTCTTTGTTTTCAACCTTTGCATTACAGTCCCTAGTAATTATTGATACATCTTCAGTGCATGTTTGATCAATTATAGACTGAAGAAATTGGTACGCTTCTTCAGTTTCATCATCATTGGCTGTAGTGTTTTGTTCACAACTTTGAATTTTAGTTGTATTAACTTGTCTTCCTTGTGTTGTTAAGTGCCGTCAAGTCAATCCTGACTCACAGCGACCCTGTATGTTTCTGAGAAGTGACTGGTGAGTTTGAACCACTGACCTTGTGATTGAAACCAACATTGTGGTCCAGTGCATTATCCTGCAGTGTCACATTAGGACTTACTTGTAGGCATATGGATATTGTCCTATCGCAGACAGTGTTGTACTTCAGGATAGATGTTGAAATGTTCTTATTGATGTGAATGCTACCCTAATCCTTTTCAATTTGTCATTCCAGCATAGTGAATGAAGCACGTCATTATCAAATTCAGAATGGTCAATAGCAGTCCATTTCAGCTCACTAATGCCTACAATATCGATCATTCTGCATTCCATTTTATTTTTGACAACCTCCAATTTTCTTAGAATCAGACTTTGTACATTCCATGTTCTGACTATTAGTAGGCATTTACGGCTGTTTCTCTTCATTGTGAGTTGTGCCCCATCAGCAAATGCAGCTCCCGAGGGCTTTATTCTGTTTGCTTTCTTCTATCACAGTCACCTGTGCTTTGAAGGGGCAGCTCTTCCCTAGTTGCATTCTGAGCGCCTTCCAACCTCAGGAACTCATCTTCTGGCATTGTTCTGACTATATTCTGTGGCTCTACATCATGTTTCCATATTCAGTATGTTGGTGCTAACAGCATCCCACTGCTCTTCATAAGGTTTTCAGTAATTACATATTTGGAAGTAGCCCATCTCTCTTTCTTTCTACTCTGTCTTAGTCTGCAAGCTCAAGAACAACCTGTCCTCATGGGTGACCCCACTGGCATTTACAATACCCGTGGCATAACTTCCAGAATCACAGCAACACGCATGCCACCACAGCACGTCAAACTGACAGATGAGTCGGGGTTCTCAGCTTCGTATTAGTTTAAATGATACAAATATCTTAAGTAGCGTGATCACAAAATGTAAGACATAAATTAGGTTAAGTGAATTTTAAAATATGACAAATATATGGTAAGTATTGGATTAATGTGCTGGACTACAAACCACCTCCTCAGTGGTTCAGTCTCATCAGTCTCTATGATTTAGAACTGACTCGACGGCACTTCGCAGCAACAAAAGAAGTCTTTAGATGTTTGTATCCAAATACATAAATAATACAGAAATAATGTTATTTATTGCTGGGCAGTAGTAAAACTTTTGTTTTTGCTCTCTGACTCCCAGGTTATGGATAAGTATGGAGAGTTCTATGGCCGAGATAGAATCAGTGAGCTGTTAGGCATGGACAAAGCAGCCTTGGATTTCAGCGATGCCAGAGAGAAGAAGAAACCAAAGAAAGACAGCTCCTTGTCGGCCGTGTGAGTGCTAGTTCTGCTCCGTCCTATATGTTTCCGTTGAAAGGGGGAAAATGCATTTCTGAACATGCTACTACTTTGATTTTATTTTTTCTTTTGTGTCAGAGAAATGGACAGAAGAGGGAAAGAGAATATGTATAGGATGTCCCTTTCTCAGCTCTGGTATTGCAGCTATGGAATAATTTGATAATTTCATTAATTTTTAAAGGTTCCTTTTTCATTATGTACATAAAGCAACAGAAAAGAAGACGATTCATGCTCTTAATTTAATTTGCGTACTCAACTAGTCAGTTTGAACCTCAAGGTCGCGGGTCAATCCTCCAGCTGCTTGTCAGAAACCTTATACAGGGTCGCTATGCTCAGAACCGACTTGACGGCACTTTAACAACAAAAACATCCTTATATGTGATACAAGCCAAAGTCTGTAGCTGTGCAGTCTATGACTCTTTCATGATAATGCCTGTTTGACATGGAGTCTCTTGTGATTCACAAAAAGCCATTGTGGAGCCCCTTTTTAAAAGAGGTTCAGAGTTCACATTATTTAATTATCGTTATTTTATTGTATTTAAACAGCAAAGTCTAAGTATTCCAGAAGCTACTATACTACCATACTTTGAAAGGAGGTACTGTTATTATAGTGTTTGGATTTAATAAAATATGTTAAGGTTTAACTATTGTGCTATCCAGTGGTTTCCAACTCTTAATGACCCTGTATTCTATGTAGTGGTACCAAGAAGCGGCTGGTGGGTTTGAATTGGCCACCCGTTGGCAAGCGGTCCACAAAGTCCAGTGCCACACTCGGATCCCAAGATATAACAAGAAGGATGAAATCAGTTGATGTGAATTTACTTTAAGACTGAATTAATATGTTGTTGATTTTTAGTGCTGTGGAGTCAGTTCTGACTCCTAGCAACCCCAAATAGTGTTTAAAAGGAGCAGCTACCACCTAGTAGACATAGCAAACTGTCCCTCATCTGATTATTCAGTAATGCTTGTTAGTAATCTCATACATGAGCCCTGGATATCCACAGACAAAT